GGCTCCGCAGGCTCCTGAGGCGTCCTGGGGCTCTGCTTTCCCCTTTCTGCCGCCAGCCAGCCTGAGGTTCGTGTCAGTGCCGGCCAGGCTGACGCTCAGCTATTTGCAGCTGGATTTTGAAGGGGTGACTCGCAGTAGCTCGACCCAGAAGGGTGTTTAATTCGGAAGAGGAAGTGAACGTTAGAACAGGAGCAAACAGCACGCAGGCCGAACGCAGCACCCCATCCTCGGGTGCAGGCAGGAGCCGCGGCGCTGGCGCCGCACACGCAGCCTCCCGGCCCTTGCGAGCGGCGCGCAGGAGCGGCACCGGCCTCGCGCCTTGTCCCTGCGCTGCCGGCAGCGCCGCCGCGGAGGCTGCACAGGGAGGCACCAACCTTGGGCACGCGGCGCCCACGTCAACAGCCAGCGTTTTATTCACGAAAATAAATACAAAATGATCCCGGTGCTGTTGGGAAGCGGTGTGTGAAGTCATGCTCTGATCAGCAGGAAATAATTGCTATAAATGTTCCAAAAGAGAAAGCCACATACCAGAAAAAAACAAAGAGTTCAGAGTTTATGCAAAAGGAAAACAAAAAGCCCRTTTTACTGCAGCCAGACAAAATCAAGGCTGCTTAGACAAATCAATGAGCCAAAGCCAAACAAATTAACAATCTACAAACATGTAAAAACTATGAAAAGCAATTTCTTGCAGCTTTAAACATCAATTGCACTACACAATAAATGGGCGTTTCTCCTTTGCTGCGAGCAAGCGGTTGAGGGGCGACGGGCACATCGATGACTCCCCGGCCAGGACGGCGTTCTCGCCTGCACGCGGCTCCTCCGCAGCACGGGAAAGGCCTCTCCCGGCGGCTCCGGAGCGGGAACATCACGGAGCTCCGGGAGCGCTGCTGACGCCGGGACGCAGGCGCGCAGCACCGAGGGCAGGYGCGGCGCAGCCCGCAGCTGCCGGCTCCGACAGCCCTCGCCAAGCACCCCGGCTCCTGTTTGCTCCCCTTATTTGCCAGGGCCTTCCCCGGGCCCTTCCTAGCCGAGCAGGACGGGATGAGTCAAACGGCTGCTGTCAAGGGGGTGCTGCCCTGGCTCCCATCAGAGCACAGGGATGCAGCAGGAACAGCAGGCAGCACACAGGGATTTGGGACATGCAGATCYGGGCTTCATACAAAAATACAGCACAGTGAAGAGCAGCAGCAAACATGCCTTTGATATTGATGAAGATGCCACCCTGAGAGCCACTTTGGGGCAGAACTTACTGCACAAACCAGTCCTGCAGCAGGGAAGGTGCCCAGGGCACAGATGAGACGAGACACAGGCCTGGAGAGGACGTGGAGGCTGCTCCGGGACACGCGGACGGGCAATGCAGGGCCGGGCAGCCGCAGCTCGCATCTCACCTGCAGCGCGGCTCGGCCGCCGCACACAACTCGGCACGCACCAAAGGGATGCTTTCTGGTTTCAAAGAATCACCACTGGATAGGCCCCTGGGATCCATTTTCCAACCGGCTTCTTCCCACATGAGGAAATCCTGGGCGGACCAAGGCTTCAGTCTGGGAAAGCCTTCAAACTCCAACTCTCCCATTTCCCCAGCAGATGGTTCCCATGCTTGAAGTGCTCCTGTCCTCGCAAAGATACCAGATGAGGACCTTGCATTCATGATTAATCAGCGTGGCTTTACATTTCTTAAGAAAAAAAAACTTCCAAGTGCAACCAAGGAACGTTGCTGGATTGAGGAATTTAAAAAATCCGTGTTAGAACCTTACTGGAACTCTCCAGGGCAGGCAGCCCTGTGGGTGCTAGTCCTGCTGCACACACCTGCAGGTGCTCTCTGTCCTCACTCCTCAGCAAAGCCAGGTCARGCACATGGGCTCTCACCAGGGCCCTGGGACAGGGGCTTCTCCAACCCATCACTTCATGTTGCCAAGACTAGGGCAGCAGTTACACAACCCCATCCCCATCGTTCACATCGCTTCTGCATCCTGGGGTAACAAGAAAGTCAGCACGACGGAAGCTGCTCCTTCCACCCAACAAGAGGAGTCTTTGGGGTGCAGTGGGGTGCAGAGAACTGCACTGACCTCACTGCATCCCCAAAACCCAGGGGCTGCAGGACACTCAAGCTGGTGGAATAARCATCAGGAACAGAACACAAGGAATGATAATGTCTTGGCACTAATACACTAAGCTTGCTCTATGCTTCCCCACCAGTTGTGGTTGCCGCTGTTTGAGTTGTTTAAATGGCCCAAGTAATTTTTAATGGGTAATTTCGCTTTGGAGTACACAATATTTTCATCTGTGTGCACGTTCTTGCTTAGCTCTTCAAAACAGTTGATTGAAAAAGTATGCATATAAAAATATTTACTAACTATAAAATAGAAAATATTTGGCTTGCAAACAAGTGTGTGTTTTTATTTATCTCAGAAAACTGGGCTGGGATGCAAGATCCAATTTTCCTCACCTCTGAAGCTTCTCAGTGGGGCTGAGTAGGGCTTAAGACGACGATGAGACTTCCCCAAGTCCGCACAGACAGGGCAGCTCAGCTAAGAATAAAAGTACAGATTCTTTTGCATCTTTAGACTGTGCATGGATCACATTCCTGCCTTTTTACTGTGGATTCCTGTGAAAGCGGTTTGGAAGAGACGGTAGTCTTACTGCGGTACCATTTGTGCAAGGATCTCATGTTTAACAGCAGTGCCAAAAATGTGGAAATTTTACTTCCAAGTGCACCATTTTACCTGGGTAACACCCCCAATTAGCACAGCCACAAGAATTCTGGTTCTCTCCTCTTCTTGCACCACAGCAAAGCTAGAGCCAGGAGCAGAGCCGCTTCCGCAGGGAGCACCTTCTGCACCGAGGCACTGCCCCACACTTGGTTCTCACCTCACAGCTCCTCGTAAAGCTCTTCAGTGTCGCTGACAGACACTGCCACTTTACATTAAAAGAGACAAGGAAACAACAGTGTAACTTCACCTTCTTCGGGCACAGGCTGCCTTTCAACAAGCCAAACCCAGGATTCAGATTGTTTCTTTAATGTGGACCATCTGCTTTGCCTCCTCCCTCCCCTTTTCTAGAACAAGGTCAATTTAATACAGATGTCAACTTAAGCAGCGAGTGCACGAGAGCGTGGGAGCAAACCCAGCAGCACAAGGCCCGCGAGAGGGGCCCGYGGTCGCGCACCACGGCCGGTGCCACCGAGCTCTGCGCCCAGCCCTGGGTGCCGGGGCTCAGCAGGGACCCCAGAGCCTCTTTGTCCTCACACGGCACCCAAGGCTGGGGCATTAGCAGAGCCAGGGTGCAGGTGGCCTCCAGCCCTGCCCCTGGATGCCGGGGGCACCGCAGGCAAGCGCAGCAGCACACGCGACACGCAGCAACGAGAGGCAGCTGGGCACCAGCGGCTGCCGGGACACCACCAAGCATCTAACCAAAGGCCACATCTCTGAAAGTCAGGCCCAGAAATGGAATTTCTTCCTACTAAAATCCCGACACTCAACTTCAGACTTAGTCTTAGTTGAGAGGCAACTATGGACTAAGTCTATAGAGAACAGACTTAATCATCCAGTTTCCAAACCAGAGAGCTCCTGAAAGGAGGAGGTGCCAACGGGGGAAACAGAGCAACCTTTAACAATATAAATGGTATCAAATTGGCACGATGAGTTAGCATTTGTTCTCRGCAGTCTCTTGGGCTTTGGCAGTAGCCATCTGAAACTGTGGCACATATGGCACAAGAGCTTTGTATTTAAGGCTGCTTTTGAGAAAAGCATTTAAGTTAGGAGAGGCACTCTGAAGAAAACCCAGATCTTTGAGCACATCAGTTGTGTGGAAATGAYACATGACGCCCGAACTTTCTGTTAAAAAAATGTCATTTTCTCCCTTCTCAAATGCTGTTATCCCTAGGTAATACAAGCTCCGCTCGGGGCTGTCACCATCGGTGAAAGCTTCATCCTGGTCTGAAGGCTCTGAAAATCCCTCTGAAGAAATAAGGGAAAGGGAGAGAGTCTTGCTGGGCTGCGCGCCACGTGGCTCGGGGAGCAGCAGAAAGGCCCCGTTGCCCATTTCCCAGGAGCTGCTGGAGAAAGCGCCCGCCACGAAGGCGTCTTGGGCGAGGACGCGGCTCCCCAGGGCGCAGCGCGGGCTGCTGCTCTGCTCGTACAGCCCTCCCGATTTGGAGTTAGTGACGACAGTGGCGTACTTAACATTGCACTGCCGGGGAACATCTCCACTGACTTTGTCCTCGTGGGAGCTCTTGGAGCTGTTACTGTTGAAATGGCTGCTAGAACAAGCAGAGTCACGTTCAGAGTCTTGGATCTTTGTAAACACTGAATCAATTGCTAAAATATCCTGCACRTCTTCTGTGTGCAATGCTCTAGTGACACTGAGGTCTTCCAGCACTATTTCTGGTTCCAGAAGGGGCTCAAATGACACGGCTTCAGGGTGCTTGACAAAAAGATGCTCAAAAGTTTCAGGCTAGAAGAAAAGATATATTTTAATGCTCATCATCAGCACGAAGCTACTGATTTTAAGAATCACAGRCAAACAAAACAAAACCAATGTTCTAACAAAAAGCCTATGTTTGAAAAAATGGCCTAAACGTGTAAGTGAAGAGTGGGAGGACGGAAAGGGAGCCCTGCTTCGTGGTGGTGCCGCAAAGTGAGCGCTCTGCAAAGGGCGTTTCCTTCAAGCTGAAACAAAAGCATCAGGTGATCGCCTTCCTTTCAACATTAAGAAACATCTGTGCATTGTTAAACACACATCTAAGTGCTAGGCAAGACAAAGGGCTCATGCCCTTAGACTTATTTGGTATTTTATTCAGACTGTGTAAATCAAAATCATTTACATGTCAACTAAAATGGCCCTTCTTATTAAGATTACATCAGGGTGAAATGGAGCCTTGGTATTTTTAGTATATTCCCATCTGAATAATGGCTGGAGGCTTGAGCTGAACAGAAACAAACATTTATTTTGGGGGAAAATATTCTCTGCCATACCTCTGATACACATGCTTGTAAAATATACAACAGCACAGACTGACAGCAGCCTGGAACTCCGAGCTACAAAGAAAATTTCACTGGAAAAACATAATGCCTAATGAATTCAAGACAAATTTAAACAGAGAAAAACACAGATTTTGTGTATATTAGGAAACCATATTTTAGAGCAGGAAAGCTGCCAAAACAACTAGGAACATGTCAAAATACTTAAATCTAGAATACAATTACAGATAAAAAAGCATCCTAACTTACCTATCTTCAGCAACTCCCTTCAGTCTAGGCTGCTACCAGCAGTGTCTATGGCCCTCRCGTGGCAAAGGCTGCAATGGGTTTCTGGGGTTTGGGGACGTCCACACAAATCCGCCACCTTCCCAAGCGGAAGCCAGCGTGGACGTTGGAATCTCTCAAAAAGTGTGAAAAGCCACATATAAAATGCACCAGACATCRAAATAAGCTGGGGACAGCTACTATTCTGTATGAAGCAAGCGATGATGACGATGATAATAACAATAATAGTAATTTCTCAGCTCCTTCCTCTCTGACAGGCTGCCTGGGCCCGTTCCGGGTACRCTGCCCACACCAGCATTCCCAAGAGGATGACGCGGGGCCGGCAGCTCAGGAATCACTGGGAAGGACACGTTTCCTCCTGATGCACCTGCCTGCCTCCGCAGGGACTTCTCTGAAGCCGGCTCCTTGTGAGCCTGCTGCCTTCCTCACCTCCGCCCCGGCCATCTGCTCCCCAAAGGGCCTCGGCAGCGGCAGCAACGCTGCCTGCGACGACTAAACAYGGCCCTTTCTAAAGCAGGGAGGCTGTTCGTCACAGGCCACCGTCTGCCAAATCAGACACATCACTTAGTAAAACACATCAAATATTTAATCAAGTACACGGTATAATCCAGTCTCCTGAGAAAACGCAGAACTACACTGTTTTAAAAATTACAGAGTATACTGGGTGAATACACCGTGAATATTTCTACATTGTATGGTATAATTTGGGCACAAATTTTGTTTAATAACAGGCAAAGTAGTCCCATAAAATTCAAGAGAGCAATCACAGCTTTAGGTCACCACTTCCCAAATGCTGCTTGCCAGAGGAAACCACATCCAAACACATAACGAATTTCAAGCAATATTACATTTTGCTCTCCTAACCAGCCTGGATTTCAGCTCCTGTAGCTGCAGCCTGGCCAGGAGGTCTCAGAAGCAGCAGCTCCCTTGAGCGACAGCCAGTTATCGGTGCCCGACACAGGTCAGAGTCAAGATTAATTTGCACTTGGCTGCTAACAGAGATTTCAAAACGGGCTATTGGCCTAATTCTCCCAAGATCAGATGAGTCTGCAAATACATTTAGCTTTACATGCTGCAAATAACCCCACGGATTTCAGTATGGGAAGTGTGCAAGAATCTCTGCAGACCTCATAATTTCCTAWAACATTAGGTCCTACACATCAATTTGTTATTGAGCATGATCTTGACATTATGCATACATGTAAAAGCTTGTAGGACTGCTGCCTAGATGTGAGGCCTGCCAATTTTAGATTATAATTGTAACCTCCCATTATGATGAGCAATATAATCATGATAAAATAATACTTTGGTGCTGCAGAACTGCATTTGTAAATACCAAACGTGMTAGATGGAATATACAAATTAATGAWCAGATGTTGAMTCAAGGATTGAGTATTAGTAACCAAGACCAAACAGGAGTTCTGCATCAGATGCCTTCACAAAGACATCAGAAGTTGACCCTCATGATACACAGATTTCTGGGATTTCTGGAATCAGTGACTGCCACCAGCTAAGGAAAGGTGCTGCACAAATSCTGTGGACTGCTCTGTCTGCTGCAAATCACGTGCTCACAAACAAGGGCCCTAMGCAGGGTTTCACAGCCCGTGCTCTGGCCTTGGATGTTCGTGGAGCGAGCGAGAGATGATCATGTTCACCCGAGGACAGGCACGAGCTGCCCTCGGCGCCACCAGCCTTAAGCAACGGCTTCCAGTGCGATTAGCACAACAAGGAGACCTGGTTCCTGTTGCACCACAGGCTGCCAAAACCCACGTCACACCCCAAYTGCTTTCACACGTGCACACGGTTCCTTCTCCAGCGGTTCCGGATTCAACAGGGTGTGTGAATACGGAGCAGTGTCACCAGGCTGGCAGCCTGGCTTTAGCCTGGCCTTAGCCTGGCTTTACTGCTAGTGAACACATCACCAACGCCAGCCTGATTTCGCCTCCATCAGCCGGTGAGCAGGATGGTGCCTGACATGCCAAGTGCGACAYGCAATTCCATGCCTATTCCAGGCAATTCCATGCACCTCTGCAGCAGGAACAGCAGAGCCTGCCAGGAGCTCCCTCTTCTAGAGGAGCAGATTCAACACGTGGATACACGTGCTCCAGGGCAACTTACTCCAGCAATTAACAGCTATGTCCAAGTGAGCCCAGCCTTCTCTGCGATGCGGCCATGGAAGCAGAAATATCAGAAAACACCCCTTCGTCTCCCAGACCTGGCTGCATCTTCCCCGGCACAGTAATTTCCAAGAGCTTCATTTAACGTTTAAACTATACAGTGCTGTGCATCTGAGAAATGCTTTAGCACTTTAAAAAGCCACAAAAACTGTAAGTACCAAATAAGACGGGTCACTTAATGGGTACTACAGCTACCACCATAACACTGCCAGAGATAGATTGGGGACTTTTGTTTTTTTCTTCAAGCACAGATCAAACRTTAGAGATTATTCTGCTATTTACACCGATAGGGCTGCAAGTTTAAAAGGTAACRAATGAAGCAGCCACACAAATAACAGGCACACTGGCTTCTCCAGAAAACAACAGCAAACCAAAGCAAGGTGGCAGTTTACATCTGCTTCACCCAGATGTAAACAGGTCAAACACCTTAACRGCATCATCACCTACTCCTGCAAATAGGAGATCTGACCTCCCTGAGGTCTGGATTTACTGGAAACTCCCAAGCCAGAGCTTGCCTAGAGCAAACAAATACCAAGGAGAAAAGGAAAACTGCCTGGATACCAAAAAGAAACCCTTTCAAGGGAGGGCAATAATCGGGCAGCCCTGGCACGCAGCTGGATAAATCCCAAGCCAGGCTGATGTCTCTGCTTCCAGGGCTGCACCCTGCGCAGGGCTGGGCTCTTTCAACTCCTGTTGAAGACCAAGGCTTGAAAGGACTCAGCCCTTTGCCAGACACAGCYTCAGGCAGCAGGGCAGTAAACGAAAGCTGAAACTCCAAATCTGAAGCRTTTCTGCCTAAGCAAGTGACACACTGCGTTCTGGTCTCTAATATGGCACTGGCTCCTCACTTTTACAAGGGCTTTTTAGATCTCTGACAGAGCTACTTCCAGGATTCATTATCTTTAAACAAATCAGCATTGTATTGTATCTGTGCTTCCTGTCTTCTGAATATAAACAGAAAAATCTTCTAACAATTCTGTATGGGAAGCCTGGGAGCTGGCCCAAGGGTTCAGCAGGCAGTGACCATGATTAGGCTTCAAAGAATCTCCATTCTCTGTTTAAACAAAATGAAATAAAATAAAAAATGAGAAAAGAAGCTTTCACTGGGAATGAAAATTAAATACTCAAAAAGTCTTCTGTCATTTGATTCTTTTTCATTTAAAAATAATAGGCCCAAATTTGGATTACTGTGGCAGCTGAGTCCATGACCACACAGTGTCAAACTCCGAGAGCAAAGGAAGCCTCASTGGTGCTAACACACGTGTTAAACCTATGGGATCCACAATGGGCTCTCCTAACTCCTGAGCTTCAACACTCCCAATGTACAATAGGGACTGAGCTGAGGTCCTGGCCCAGTTCTGGGCATTCGCTTTCTCCAGCTGGAACAACTGTGGCACTGCTAACTCCAGGGGCTCCAAGCTGCTCCACGCAGTAATTCAGCTAAGCTCTAGTCTGATCAGCAGGCAGGGTCCAGTAGGGAGCAAACACACAGCTGCAGGGAAGGAGCATTGCTGTGGCAGTTCCTACCTTCTGGAAGTTAACTCCTTGTGCCCAGGAGCAGTTCTTGGGGTTCGGAACATCTTCCCAAAACAGCTTCTTCATTCTGAAATGTTAGGTAAATTCTGGAGTTGGCACAGTTCTTGCGTGACCTGTACTGCTGTACAGTATAACTCAAAAAAAAAAAAATGATGAGAATCATTTCTAGCTTTCCCCAGAAAGACCCTGTTCACCAGCTTGACAGACAGATATAATCTACATTACCTTATTTTAGGCATATTTTGTGAGTTTTGCTTGGCAACAAACAACCCACCTTTGGTGTGAAACCATCAATGCTCCAAGCAACAAAGCTGAGGTTGAAATAACGATTGGCAGAACCACRTAGAGGCTGGCATTGTGCTGATTTTCAGACCCATCTGCAAATAAAGAGAGTTCAGATACTCAGGTAATAATACAATTTATCTGTTTGCAAGAGAGAAAAATAAACACACATAGAAACATTAGAAAAAGTGTTAACATAAATATTTTTTTTTTTTTTTTTTTTGCACATGGAAGAGTCCACAGAGAGACAGAGAGAGAAGGAAGAATCAGAGGGATCTAGGATCTCAGTGATTAGGTTCGGGGTAGGATTAGTGCTGTGCCTTAATCTACCAGTCCCTCAAAGTGATTTCAGATTAAACCAGCTATTTAAAGTTATATTACAATTACTGGATTACTATCACTGTTTTCTAATAAGATACAAACTTCTTCCATATTGCAGTTTATCTTTTATTAACAAGCCCCTATTTCATAAATAACAAGGAGAAAGATCCTATAAATCACCTCTGATAAACTGATCCGTAGTTCTGGATTTGCCAACTCCGCCAGCAAATACAGGGTACAGGCTGAACTGGTACTTCTCAATCAGAATAAAGTGATCTGCAGGGAAGACATCAGCCTTTTCAATCAAAGACACTGATATGTAAACTATTTCTGTCATGGGATTAGCACCTCAATGAAACAATTGTAAAAACTGCAATATCAAAGGCAAATACAAATGTAATGTGCATATAAACTAAGATAATTAGCTGGTACATTCAATATCCAATATCTAATTTTATTATAYTGTCATAAAATGAACAAGTATGAGTTTCATTCTTTGTCAGATTGTGTAATTAAAAAAAAAACCCTCGGTGCATGTTGCTTTGCATCAGGCACTGGCTTAGCAAAGTCCTCCTCAGTAAGGGCGGGCAATCTAAAGAGATGTACGTTAAAAATAATCTCACACAGATCAATTCAATCACAATCTGGATAAAATATAAGCAAGTAAGAGGTGGGTCAGGCTCAGAAATAGTACATCTGAGAGAAGTTCGTCCAGGAATGAATGTCATGTGGGGCAGAAGCAAAGACCACAAGACCTAAAAAGCCATGAACTAGTTTTTGGGAGCTCTCAAAAAACGGTAAAGGTCATTCAGCAATCCTGTCTCAGCCTGGATTATCAACGCAACAGTCAGTCCTCTAATGATAATCAAGGATTACTCCACTGGATCTTATCACAAAAAGAGACTGGAAACAGAGAGTGGGGGGAAGGAAAAAAGGAATCTGAGAATTCAGTAAATCTACAATGTCTATCCTGAAACATTTAACATAACATGTTACATTTTTGAGTATAAACTCACCATAAATATAATACTTGCTGATATTTGGAGGAACTCGCACCCATTTCATCTCCTCTTCTTTGTTCAGGTTTCTCCACTCGATAACTAGAGATGTTATCCCATCCACTCGAGGCGCCAGCGTCCAAGCCAGAACCACGCAGGTGCTGTTCACYGGGTAGGCACCGAGCGCCTGCACGGCGCCCACTGGCACAGCAAGGACAGGAGCAAGGACACCGTGAGACGCAGGCTCAAAGCTGTACCTCACCTACCTGTACACCGACGACTGCTGCAGCTTCTGCCTTTCTCACTCATCTCCTGAGTTTTTATCTTGGGTATAATAAGGCTTCATCTTCAAGTCATTCCCCTGTAAGCCAGGCTAAGMTTGGCTTGTACTATCTAGCCCCAGACACTAAATGGATCAGGTTTCTCAGGAAACATGCTGGTTCTGATGTGCACTTCTTAAACTATCACTCCCTGGGCAAGGAAGGATCGACAATGAAGCCGTCACCATTCAGCTGCTAAAAGAGCCACTAAGAGCCTGTAAGCTAAATCCTATTAAACCTTCCTGGGTAATATAATAGCATCAGACTTCAGGTAGACAAATGCYCCTCATTAGGCCTGCTACTAACTGTGAAGTTTCCACATTATCACAGAATTTTACCCTTTAAAATGCTTTAAAATTAAATTACAGAAGGAAAGCTCTATGAATAAACTGTAGGAACAGTAATGTTTCCCACCGCACATATTTGCATATGAATGTTACACAATTCATATTTGAAAAAGCAATAGYCTTTATTTTATTAATAAAGCAGAGTTTAACCAGACCAATGAAGAGGCTACTTAGAAAGTAAAGCCAGACCTCCTGAGAACTACGCGCTCTGCAGTCTATCAGTGAGCAGCCAAAGACCACATTTAATTTTGGAAATAACCAAACGTTTTCTAACAGGAATGCTGGGTGTTCCCAAGGCAAAGTAGATGGGAGATCAGTTCCACAGGAAGGTTTTATTTTTCCTTGATTAATTACTTTATATTCTGCTAGTAAAGGGAAGAATACCAGTTAAGGACAACTCTTTTCCCAAACCAAAGATCATTATGCTTTTCATGGGATGGAAATTTCATTTTTCAAATAATTCTGCTGGTGAGATACAGAAGCTGTTTCCCTTACACAGCTGAACATAGCATTATAAAATATTTCCACCTTCTAACTGAGGGAGTTTTATTACAAAGAAAGCTATATCCAAAAGCATCACAAAAATTCCTTACATCTTCTGCATCTCAAAATGGTAACAAACTAGTGTTCTTACCTGTGCTCATCTGCTGTGACAGAGTTAAATTAAAATTAACTGAAGAAACTCCAAGTGAATTCATGGCTAAGACTGTAACGGTATGTGTGCGTTCAGTCCATGCAAATGAACAGGTAGTGCCGTTCTCAACGTATTCTGACCACGTAGTATTTTCTGAGGTCTGRTGCTTTATAATGTATCGGCTCACACTGCACAGGGACTGATTCTTCATCAGAGGCTGCAGTAAACATTAGCATTAATTAATTTCCCAATCTTTGATTTCAAGAAAAAACATTATTGGGGCAGAAGATGACAGTTTTCCAATTTTAAGAAAATGTGACTCCCCTTCCCTCCACAAAAGATACTCACCAGACTGACCACTGCCCTCTTAGCAAGGACACTGCAGTCGATTTAAAAGCTTATTTTCCTCTCCTCTCTGAAACCTGACCCCCACTTGCTCTCTCCCCAGCGTGTGTGTGTGTGTGTGTGTGTGTGTGTGTGTGTGTGTGTGTGTGTGTGTGTGTGTGTGTGTTGCAGGGGACAGGAAGGTGGAAAGCCAGGACATACCAACTATCACTCTCCTGTGGTAACTCGCAGTTTTATGTTAATATTTTTCAGGGCTGAAAACTCACCAGTGCTGACCATCTTGCACACTGGATTGCCTGCATATGGACAAACAGGGGTGGCCAGTCACTGATGCAYTTCTGCCATACCGTGCAGTCGCAGTGGTGCATGCACGGGCAGCAGGCCAGGCGTCCTYGGGCATCCTGGCCAGAACGTGGCAGCTGAAGATTGCATCTTTCACRGTAACTTAGCTGTTGTTTTCATGTTATTCTTTCCTCTGAACGCTAGAACAAACTGCATTTTAAGTTTTTGTGAGGCTGCTTCACTTGCCTACCCTGAAGGCATAGGCTTCCACCAACACRTAACACCATATGGGCACGCTAGCTGTGTCAGTACATCTCAAGGCAGCTGCTCTGGTCCCTGCACATCAGCGAGTCTCCTGTCTGCCAGAGATGTGAGCAGGCTTTACCCAAGTACTGAGAACTGTGAAACTGCAGGAATAATGAGATAGAAACCCAGGAGCGGGTTTGTTTAGGTGGCTGTGGAGCAGGTCCACATGCAGCTCCCCTCAGCTRAGGGGTATGCAATTGCACCCGAGCAAGAACAGTCTGACCACGCTCTCAGATGGACCTCCTGAGGGCAAGGAACAAAGAACACGGCAGGCTGAGCTCTAGAAGYAGGCTGAGCCATCCCCTCGTTGTACCACAGCATCACAACCAATTTTCCACAGCAATTTCTATCAGCCTCCAAAACCAGCCAAGGAAGAGGCTGTAACATGGAAGAAGCTGTACCAAGCACGTTGCATTCCAGGTCCCGTGAACAGACTGCCCACGTTTGCCTCCCCAGCAGCATCTGAGAGATTACTCCCTTTTGAGTAACCGCCAATGCTTTTGGATCACACATCTCAAAGTGAGAATACGTATTACAGAAAGACCAAAATGTAGTACACAGAACCACAGAATGGTTGAGGTTGGAAGGGACCTCTAGAGATCATCCAGTCCAACCTCCTGCTCCAGCAGGGACACCCAGAGCACATAGCACAAGGTGGCATCCAGGCAGGTTTGGAAGATCTCCAGAGAAGGAGACACCACAGCCTCCCTGGACAACTTGTTGCAGTGCCCTATCACTCTCACAGTAAACAAGTTCTTCCTCACATACAGATGGAACTTCCCGTAAAGTTGTTCCCACCTTCCACAGAAGTGTAACATTCCTCTGCCTCCTTGCAGGATCTTCAGTAATAATTCTCCAAAACTCAGGGCCTTGTAGAGGAGCTGCAGGATTACATAGTTTTAGAAGAAAAACAGTCACCTCTCAGCCTGAAACGGGACAGAGCTAGAGCTGTCAGAGCAGACTGCAAAAGCGTGGGTACCTTTGATATCTCTGACAAGTGCATAGGCTGATCTGCTCCAGTCGCTCCAGTAACCGGCTCCATCGGGTCCTCTGCAGCGCACCTCAACAACGTACTCAACACAAGGTTTCTGAACTTTTATCACTGCCCATCTTGTTGGTGCATCTGAAATTTCATACAACTGCAAAAGAAATCAAARTATGCAGAATAAGAACAAAAGATTCTTTAGCATTGTTATAATCGGAACTCCTGAAAATGAATCCTCATTGGATGCACTGGATTAAAAAGTGGCCTAATCAGGAATATGGCTTCACCAAGTAATATAACTGCTTATGATTCCTCATATACAGCAAATTCCGCAAAAAACAGCTAACAGGCTAAATGCTGCCACAATTCATACCTTGACCTAGCTCAAAAAGGACAGTACCTGCCATCTAATCTCTTCTCTGTTCTCAGCATACCGAATTTGAAATTTAAGATCATTGTTTGTGAATATCGGGTTTGTCCAGCTCACATTCAGCAGCCCAACATTCCTGGTGATTTCTGCCTTAACATCAGAGGGAGGAAGCAGCTTCACTAGAAAAAAAAAAAAATGGAAAGAAACAGAAAATACTGTAATATCTACGCAGACATTTTTCATTAAACCACAATGATTTCATTTACTTTCTCTACTCCAAGGGTCCCAGGTCACACTAGGGCTTTGATACYCTGCACAAATCCAGTCTATGCTACAAAAACAACAATTTGCCAATCTAGGCTGGCTTGTCCTTTCACTGCAGACAGTGTTTCTGATTGAGAAAGTAAAGTGTTTGTCTCATGCGAAATTCACCCCAATTTTGACCCCAAACAAAACTAATTAAAAAAATCAAGGTGAAATACCTAAATCAGGCAGACGCAGCTAGAATATGGTCTCCACGACGTACACTTATATACTGATTACATTAACCAGCACACGAAGAAACTTTGAAAACTAAAAGGCCACCCACACTTGCAGTGTAATGCTACAGCCCAAGCCCCAGTGAGCTACAGTATATTGGGCTTTTCCTTTCCTGCCTGGGAAATTCGTTTTTGCCCACACTCTATATATTCTCCATGTGCATACTTGCTCCCATGAACATAATACATGTTTCGTTCTGCTTTGCTTCATGCTGCACTTTTACAGTCTAGCTAGAATATAGATGGAAACAGTTATTACAAATACTGAACTGGGGGGAAAACAGCCCTTTCCTCTTTGTGAATGGATGTCAGAATATTTTTTTTTTTTCCAGAAGATATATGAAGCAAAAGTTGCAATGTTTTCTTTCCATGTACATTCACACTTGGGTCCAGTAATAGATATACACTGTCCAGTGAATGCTGCAGGCTACGGACCAAACAAGACTCGCTTTGCACATTTAAAATTCTCAAACACTGTTTTTGCTCTTAGTTTCTATAAAAAAATTAAGTAAATGCTCTAAATGTTGCAAAAAAAGTTTTGCAAAAGCATGTAAATACATCAACTATTCCTGTGATTAAAAAAGAGAGTATAAAAGCGTATATAGTAATGCATAGTGCTTTACATGGCATCAAAACATCAAATTTAATCTCATAACTGAAGATTTACAAAGATGCAGAAAATCAAGAATCCTAAAAACGAGACAAAAATCCTAGTATTTAAATACAGTACTCGCATTTTCTGTAGATGTCTCCGAAAAAGAATCAAGAGGATAAACATACAAAACTGATCTCTATAGGTAGTAGCTGTAGTTACAGTCTGGTCCTGTGTCAAGCAAAATGTATGGAAAGGCCCAATGCCTTTCAGAAATGACAMGAACTCTGATTTTTTCATGTTATTTCCATAGCCCTATTTATACAAAAGACTATGAAGACTCTGAATATACACTATAAGAAAACAATAAAATTCAAAGTCACAAGTGAAGAAAAATGCACAGAAATCTTGCATACCTACATCTGCTGGAATGATACAAGTTGGTGAAGATTCAAGAGTTCCTAGTGGGTGTTTAAATTCTATCCACATGGTATAACCAGATAAAAGAAAAATCGGCCGGAATGTGCACTCGTAGGAAAGATTCCTCTGCAAACTGCATTCTTTCACCTCTGATTTTGGAGAAGTGCTTGTGAAATCGGGACAATAAATTTTGCTCCTTAAAAGACAGAAAAACATTCATTTAATACTTTTCAACAATAAGCTGCTCATGGCATCAGGAAAATAGAACTCCAAAGTAAATGAGTGGAATGACATCACTTGAAGCAGAAGATCCTTTCTGGTGATCATCTGGATGGACCCTCAATTTGAGTCTCCACTGAATGGATAGATAACACTATTATGTCACTCCTTAAAGCTTTGGTTCTTAGCCCAAATAAAGCAAGACATGGAAGGCTCTCCCCAGTGCAAAATCTCTTGATAACAGACTACATCAGGAAGCAACTGGTTAGAAAACAGCAGGTCTCTGCAGACACTGGTAAGTCAGTCATGTTGTCTGAATGGTGCCTATGAGCAATAAACAGAGGCAGGCAGAACTCCCACCAGAGTAACTGAGCACAAAACACTGATTTATCCCAGCCAAGAATATGACTTAAAACACCAACTGGTATCCAGGGGAAAGCAAACACGTGGCCCAACCAGATATGCACAGCTAAGTCTCCARGAGACTAAAATCTCATTTAAAAATCAATTCTGGATAGTGATATTAAAATCCCACATACAGTCAGTACCACAACTGGCAAGAGAAGAGACTTGGACTCAGGACAAAATGGTGCTGGGCAAACTGCAGCACGATGACAAGAGGAAAGTTTTCCCATTTCTCCTAAGCCTGAAATTTGCACAGCTCAGACTTCTGCTGAGYGTGGCCAGACAGTTTATTAATTATTCAGTCTGATCACAGATATCAGACTTAGCTGTAACTCTCCTCTTAACGTCAACACAGCGAACACCCATGAAACAGCTGCCCGCGCTTTGAAGATCTCGCCGAGCGCTCTCTGTTTTCACAGGATGGCAGTTCCTGTTCTTTTATTGCTGGCAGCATTAACCGTAGAGGAAGATGCAGTAACAAGTCAGCCAAAACAAACACCAACAGGCAGAGCTATCGTACTGCAGCGGTGTACAGCATGGGATCACATCTGCAAAATATAACTGCATCAGTACCCAAGAACAGCTGCGTGCTCCTGGAAAACCCGATATGTTTGATGTTAATACAATATATTGAACTTGTAACTTTCATCCTAGGGACTTGCCCATGGCAAAGTAGACCCGGCCAACTCCAACATATTTAGGTTAGCTCCTTGCAATCGGCTTGGACAACTAATAGTGGTGAGCATTTCATTTGGTTTCAGGCTTGCAGCGTCCAGGTTCATTTTGTGATTTTGTTCACAACGTGCAATAGACTGTTATGTAAATGACACTGGCATTTTCATAATTACACATTTTGGAAGTCTAATACTGCAACTATTCAGCAGTCGTTCCATTCATGTGGTCCCTCAGGGTTTTTTTTGTTGTTATTTCAGAACATAATAAGCAAAATGAAAAATAAAATAAAATAAAATAAGCACCAGGCAAACATTTACAGTATGTCTTATATTCTGTATTTGATCTAGCATGAATATTGCAATGAATTTATAGACTTATGTAGTATTAGAAAACAATGTTTATAGCCTGGACAGGGAAAAAGGGGAACAAAAACACACAGCAAGAGCACCTGGGTGTTTATTTCAAGCTCCTTACACCTCAGTACATTCATTACGTTCACATGTATGTGAAAATAGGCAAAACAAGACCTACCTTGGCAGTCAGCCAGTCACCAACTCTGCCTTAGAGGGCCCTACGCTGGAGCCTGCAGCATTTCTAGCTGTYCCTCAAGTTCACCAAGTGTGGGAAATACTAAATTGAAATTTGCTCCTGACTTCCTGACTCAGAAAGCGCTTTCTGTTCAACCATCTGACAACAAGACAGGCCAAAACCACCTGAAAATTACAGAATCGCAGAAGGGCTGTGGTTGGAAGGGACCTCTGGAGAGCATCTAGTGCAATGGCCCTGCGGAAGCAGAGGCACCTAGAGCACACTGCCCAAAACCTTGGCCAGACGGTTGTTGAGTGTCTCCAGGGATGGAGACTCCACAAATTATACAGTAAAAGTGAAGAACTTCCCTAGGCACTAAAGCTGCTCCCTCCATAATGCAATACTCTCTTTATGAGCCACTATTCTCTCCTTATAGGTTAGTTTTTTGTTTTTTGTTTTTTTTTTTAAATCAGGAATATATTAAATTCTGCCACTGTATGTATAAACTGATCTGTATGTACACTGTATGTAAAGATATAGAACCCTAGAAAAATGAAGATTGAAATGGAGATTTCAGTAAGTCTCATATCCTACCTCCTACTCACAGTGGGGTTAAATTCAGATCAAGTCACCCATGGTCTTGTCCAATTGAGATTTGAAAACTTTCAAGGACAGAGATTCTAGGGCCTTTCTGGGCCCCTGTTCCATTGCTCAGCTATTCTCACAGAGAATAATTCTTTCCCTTATTTCTTTAYAAATTGCAAATATGAACAACTAGAAGAATTTATGGCTGATACAAACAACATACTTGAAGAGACAAAARAATCTGACATCAACTCATACACTTGAAGCAGAAAAGGAGACTGTCTTGACACAACASAGAAGCTTAAAAAGCATATTGGTTTAGTTACCTCTAGACCTACTACCAAGAAAAAAAAATAACCCTCAGAGTTAATAAAAAATAGTAACAGTTACATTAATTTTTCTGCTCAATTTTTAAGCTGTATTTATGGAACCTACTTCCATACTTATCTACAAGTTTTACAAGCGCTACAGAATTGGTAAATAAAATGCACATTTTATACTCGGATATCTAGTGTTCCCRTTTTGCATGTGTAGCTAATACCTCTGGAGTTCCAGATGGAAAAAGTCTGGCCTGCAGAAACTGCCTACCTTTTATAAACGCATCTACTCAGAATTGTTTACTGCAACAGTATTTTGAGAGCAACACTTTCCAAACATAAAGAGTGCATTAAAAGCTATACACACCTGTAGTATCTTAACTGCAAAGAACTCCCCACGAGCAATGTGTTTGCGTTTGCAGACCATCTGCAAGTCATTTTAGTTAAGTACCCATCAGTTTCACATGTGATATTGATATTCGTATCTAATCAAAACACATTGAAAGTTTATTAATAGAGATATAGCTGTTCATATAAAAACATGCATTACAAGTCACTAGTGCTTGATAAAAGGTAACTGGAGTTCAAAATATTCTGACTTTACTATTAAATTACACAAAAATTACAAGCAGAAATCATCAGGAATCTTACCTACTACATATAATTCAGCGTATCTGTGATGACACTCCCTATTTTGATGACAACAGTACACTGCATTATAGAAAAAATTTCCTCTAGGTTTTGTTGCTTTCAAGTTGAAAAGAGTAACTTTGCTTACACGATCATTCACAAGTGTGTACTGACTTTCTGGGACTTCTTCTGCTAAATTCAGCCACCAAACAATCTTCTTGGACGCCACTATCTTGTTTTTATTATTATAGATGCAATGAAAGGAAACGTTAGAGCCAACACTGGTCAGCAGCTTAGGAGGGAAGTACAGGACTCCTGTTACAGGGAAGGAGAAAAAAAGAAAAAAAAGAAAAAAGAGAAAAAACCTTTAAAAATAGAACTGTAAAAAAAAAATATTGTATGACAGTAACAAATATCATTGCCATCCAGTTTATTTCTAAACCGTCTCCTATTTATTAAGGACTTATTAAGGACTACTTATTAAGGACTCCTTATTAAGAACTACAGAGCAGAGACTGGCTGAAATGAGACCCCTGAATCTCTCCCCTCAATAATGTCTATAAATTCTGTGATAAAATTAGTCTTCAATAGCCCCTATCAAACAGGAACAAAATGAGCGGAAAATCACTGGGGAGCACAGTGGAAAAAAAAAAACTAAAAAACTAAAAAGAAAAACCTAAAAAAAAGAAATACATAGCAGCATGTGTGAAATGGGAGGCATACGGCTTGTACAGTATCTACTGTACCTCCTTCACATACATGCTTGTGTTTTAAAGACATTCATAAACTCCTTCTGAAAACATGAATATGTGTGTGGGAGAGAACAAAAAGTATCTAAAGATATATGATTTTGCTATGGTATGCTTTATATCTATAAAGCTAAAAATAAAAGGTCAACTGTGCTTCTAAATCTGTTATYAGACACCCTGTGTTAGATGCTCTGCAACCAAAAGGGTCCAGGTATCTTACAAGGTGACAAGCACTGCGCACAACCCACCTCCCGGGTGCAGGCTGAACGGCGCGCTCCAGTCGCTCCAGAAGCCCGGGCCGTGCCGACGCTTGCAGCGCACTTGAACGGAGTTCAAAGAATCAAGCAGCACAGGCTCTATGGCCACCGAGGTTTCTAGGACAACTTCAACCATCTGACAGATTATCAAAAGGTATTATTATGTATAACACTTCAGGGAAGTGGACACGGGGAGAGAGAGGAAGGAAGTGCATGAGAGTGAGTGAGCAAGTGAGAAGTCAACAGGACCGAAACAAATTGTTAAAGAAAGTTGTTATTTTTAGGTAGCAAGAAGGGGGGGTAACAAAGTTCTTGTCTCTGAATTTACTGTAAATTTTAAGATGATAGAAATTGGACACCCCAGTGGAAAATATGTTGTTCTGTTATGGGCTGCTAATTATAAACTGCTTTTTATCCAGATCTAGCTGTACAGTTGCAACAGAAAAAGCAACCCACTTGTAAAAACTATAAATATTAAACATACACTCATTTATCATCGCATTTGCGTTCTGCTGAGACCTTTGCCTTTAGACCTCACAAACCTAGATTTTCATCCAAAAAGTAGGATGGGAGTTTGTGTAACGCACAATGCAAAGGGTAATGGCTCTCCTGGAGTAAGAGATGTGCAGCCCAGCCTGCCAGCTGCACCACACGCTGCTGCTGCCACGAGGCTCTGCTCTTCACAGCAGCTCAGGAAGAAACCAGGTGGCATGCCCAGCTCCACTAGACCAGCCGTGTTGCTCTGCCCACCTGCATCGCAACCCCAAGGACAGGGAGCATAGTAACAAATCCAAGACTCCAAAGAGACCCTCAGACTTGCACTGCTCCATCATAAAGCAGAGAGAAAAGAGCTGACTCACCTGCCAGACATCCTGACTTGAATTTGCAGAGAACTTGACTTCATACTTGAGCGGGTAGGGCATTAGCACTGGATCAGACCAGCACATCTTCACTTGACCTTTCTCTGCCATTTCTAGATGCAGGTTCAAAGGAGGTTCAGGCTTTACTGCCAACAAATTAAACAAGTTTACTGCTAAGATTATTGCCTGTGACTTGCTGGCTCAAACTTTTTACTGATTCAGAAATCTCCTTCATACCCTTTCCTTAAGTTTCGTTTTCAAAAGCTGCTCTACACCTAATGTATTTCAGAGCGCTGTTGTGCAATATCACTTGGAAAGTGCATCCCAGGAATATTATATAATGAGCTGTCAGGTCATGTTCTTTGACCTAATGCTAACCTTAAAACTGAGTGAATTTCTTGCCTTGGRCAATGATTCTACTCAGCAGCCAAGCACTAACCTACCTGTTTTGCTGAAGAGAGGGTTGAGAAGGATAGAGTGCTGCGCAGAGCAATTTGTTCAGCTCCTTAACAGGCAGGAGATAATGCCCTTGTATTGTACACAAAGACTTTCTAAATATCCCCATCCCTTCTACAGCGATTATGGCTACGACAAAAGGTCTCCAGCAGAGCTGCATTAAGGCAAAGGGAAAAATGGAGGGTTTCAGAAGGCTCCCATACGAGTAGAGAACACTCTGGAGGAGGAAATGGATGGGCAATTTAGAATGATGATTAGTATTACATTCAGTCTTCCTTGGAGAAAAAGTAGGCAGCTCGGATCCTACATTTACCTGCTMGTGAGACCTTTCCTGCCACCATCTCATTGCCATGTCTTTTGGTTGAGCTCGTCCTCACTGGGCACTCAGCTTCTCCCAAGCAAGAGCAATACCCTATTAAAAACCACTGCAGATTCAACAGCATGTGCCCAATTTGAGAAGAAAGCACTTCCAGGCATTTCAGGCAGCGGGCACATGTTCCCCTCCGGTTCCAGCCTGGTGCCCTGGGTGCCCCTGCTCACCTTCATCCCTGCCAGACAGAAGAACCACTGCCAGGCAGGGATTTACGCTGCCTCCTCGGCTGCTTTGCTAACCCGGGTAACAMAAGTGCTGCAGGCAGAGAGGGGCAGTCAGAAAGGGTGAGCAGGGATGATATTACTTATCCAAATCTTCCATATCATCTCAGAGCAACTAATTAATGAAGGGGAAATTCTGCTAGAAGCTCATAACTTTTGAAGCATGACTTAGTCATTTTTGCATCACATTTTTGTGCATCTTAAATATATAATAGCACAAAAAACTAGGTTCTCACTCTGTTAGTTCTACTGATAACATTTATGAGCATACAACTCTATCTCACACTGGCAGTCCTATTTTTATTTTCAAACTATATTTATTGAGCTAAGTCGTAGCAGAGCACATACCAATACTACACATTTTAGAAATATACTTTACCAAGCAGAACAAATTAATTATGTCGCTCTAAACACTGCCAGATGCAGCTCTGAATGTTGACATTTTGTGTAATGTAATTTAAAAGCAGTATGATGAATGTGATCCTTCATCTTTTAAACTAACCCATCTAAAGGCTTTTCAGCTATTTTGTCTGTAAAACATATCAGTTAAGAAGTTTACAAAATACTCTTTTTTTTTTTCTCCCCCCACACCTTTTTGGAATTTGCCAAGATCTGTAACTCTGGGGTAATTTTTTTTTTTTTTTTTTTTCCTCCCCCCACACCTTTTCGGAATTTGCCAAGATCTGTAACTCTGGGGTAATGATACCAACCAAACCAATACCAAATAATGCAACTTACAGCTGCAACTTACAGGTGAGCAATGACACCAAATCCTCACCTATGTCTATGGGCTCGACAGACATTAAAGGTGACCAAAGGGGTGTCACACCAATCGTGACCTGCAGCCACAGGACGTAGGTGCAGTTGAGTCTCAGGGAGGGAACGCAGCACTCACACTTGTCATATTCACTGCAGTCACAGGGARCTGCCATTACTCTCCCTTTCAGGGAACTCGTAGACATTTCTCCCAGCGACAGCTCCGATCTACAAGGAAAAGGAAAGAAAAAGGAAGAAAAAGTAATTGTGGAGAGACTGTTTTAGCAGAGGACATTTCTGGTCCTTCTGGATAAGGTTTATTTACAGCAAAAACTAATAAAAAAGATGAGTTGCCTAAAAAGGCAGTAATGGTTACCAACTGGTTTTGCTTTGTTTCTTCTCCTCTTTTAAATGTTTTCCTAGGAAAGCAGTTAAAACTACCTCATGAAAATTGTTCCTAAGTGTTGATCTTAAAAGAAATGTGTTACCACATTAGACGAGATCCATAGCTCAGTCAGTGTAGTTTGCAGTTCTTGATGGTAGCTAGTACCAGATGCTTCTCAGGAAGACAAATTTACCCTARAGCAGACAAACTCTTGCCCTTGGAGAGATCACATTCCAATTCCTAGCCATGAGACACAGTAGTAGAAATCAAAACATATTTAATATTCCTTCATAAGCTATTTAATAATCAAAAGCTCTTATTCCAGTGAAGASGAAATAAGTTTTACAATTACATGAAGCTAAGCAACCCCACTCTTCAGAACACATTTTAAAATRAGTTGTCAACAACTTACAGTGCTAGGAGAGGGGAAAAAGAAAAGTCATAACTTTGTACAGTTAATTCTAAGCTAAGATTTCAGCTACTTGGGGTCAAAGCATGTTTGCTTCTTATATAGTTTGACTTTTCATAAGAAAGCTTAATCACAAATATTACCACTACTATCTTGGACATGCCCACGGAAACTATTTTGGTAAGTATCTCTTACTACGTTTTGCTTTGATTCCTTCTCAGAATAAATACCACGAGACTATTTTTGACTGAATCTCCAGATCGACTTTCTTTTTTCTTTTCTTTTTTTTTTTTTTTTTTTTTTTTTCTATCAGTACTTTTTTCTGGATTATTTAACATAAGCCTTTGATTTCATAAAATCTGCAAAAGCTGCACAGCATAAGAAATTTTCATAGTTTTAAATAATGCACAGCAGTATGGACATAATGTGTGTTTCATAAACAGTTCAAATTTCCTAATATTATGATTTCATTAGATTTTTAAGGAAACAGTTAACAAAGTATGCGGTGCATACAGATATATGTACCTGTGCATTAGGCCTCTTATTGATATAAAATACAAGATACAAAAAGAACACGTGCATTCACACTGGAATACCAGCCACCACATTTACATTATGCTTCTGAAATAGATATTGCCGTTTTCCCCAGGTCAGCTTCAAGAAACAACAGCAAGAAGACCCAAACTATTTCCCATATTTGCATTAGTGCACAGATTCCTTTCAAGYCAAGGTGCTTCCATGTGTCTTTAGAGCTATGTATGATTACTCCATTACAGGTGTTTTCAATCCCTGTGTCTCTACAGTCACAGTCAAATTTCAGTGAAATTATTTCCAATTTATAGGTAGGGCACAAATAAGCCCACAGCTGCTTCTATACTGGGAGCAATCAGCAGTTCCCATACTATTCCAGAATCCAACCCTTGTGCCTTCCTGCTTTTGATCTTAGCTCTACAAACAAAATCTGATTTTGAATTATTCTTAAATAATTTGGGATTCTTTTTCTCTATAGCAAGCACTTCTTATTAATGCAGAGAAACTGAGTTAATAAAACACGAACTCTCTGCAAAGGTTCGAAATATCTTCATAGTTGAGCTATTTTAACACTTGAGCTCAGGAAGTGGACGGGAACTCCACATCTGGCGAGGAAAAAGGATAAAGACTTTCTGCCTCTGGGTTTGTTTCCTGATCAACTGGGTCTAAGGGAAACATGATCAAATGAACCCACGGGTTCACTGACTATGTTACCACAATSTGCCATATTTAAAAGGAGAAATGTGATTTTGAAAGTGTGGAAACCCTGGGGAACTGGAAAGCGCTGCAACAAAAAATGTTCAATGATGCTACTCTCTCAAGGCACCCGCACTCTGCTGTCACCACCCTCAAGTTGGCCAAGCCTCTCAAGTAGTTTACAGTTGTTAGAACTACAGCCAGTCAGCACTGGCATCCCTATAATATTCCCTGCAAGATTCCCTGTCAGTTTTCACAGACTCGAGGACACGAGCAGTAAGCAGCTTTATGCTAATGGTACCTGGCAGACATGCAGCCTCTGTATTTCTTGGTGTGTTTTTTCTCTCCTCAATGTGGTCCCACTTCTTCCTCCTTCATTACTTTAAAAAAACTTCACATAAATTCCTTCACATTTCCCTGCCTCCTGGCATTGCTCACTGCTTTTATAATTGGTCAAAAAAAAAAAAAAAAAAAGTACAGTCAACCCTTAACAAATCTGTAATTATTTCTACTTAACCTTCAGATCCAACCTTGCTCATGTGGCTTAGTAGTGAGTATAGTTGTGAATGACAGGTTTACAACTTTTAAAGAACACTTCCACAAAGACACTAAATTACAGTAATATATACTCTGTACTTAAATTAGCATTGCCAAAGCTCAGTTTTTATAGTTAGTGAAGTCTATTAGCCTCAAAAGACTTGAAAATATCTTATAAAAATTACACATTATCCAAAGATACTAAATAATCCAGTATGCAAGTAAGGCTTCCCTTTAGGCCTCAGGAATACAAACCCTGAAACAAAGATGACCAGTGTCCCTGTATCTTCCCCAACTCTTTTGCCCATCTACAACACACAGAAAATTAAGATGTGAAAGAGCTAATAAGCTTGCAGCCTTTAAAGGTACCTTTATATCCTTCAAGCACGGTGGCAAGAGCAGCGGCTGCTGCAGCTGGCAGGGCAGGCTCAGCACAACCGCAGGCTCCGAGCCAGCCAGGCTGGAGCCCAGGGAGCCGCCAATCCCATCCGTACGGAGCGGGGCTTTCACCACGGCTGCGCCCCCAACACACGCCTCTGCCTCACCCCAAAACACCTCTGAAAGCGCTTCTGGGTTCCTGGGCACAGGCCTTAAGGCTGATCCAAGCTCAGACGCAAACTCTCAGTGCCAACAYCTCTTTCAATCCCTCTGTTTTCCGATTCCCTTGCCTTCAGCAGACCTGCAGAGCTGGAGCGCTGCCCTCTGCATTACTGCTTGCTCAGGCATCATCACAAGCAGCCAGAGCTCACTTTAGCCTTGCTATGTTGCTTATTTGGCATAACCAGCCCCACCCGGGTCTTCTAGCCGTGTAAAAGCAGACCTATTTGGAAGGCTAGTTACCCCTTTGCACACCTTTTTCCTAATCATTCCTAATGATCATTGCAAATTTTAACAACTGAAGTGAACTAATAGGCACCCAGATGGTCTGGGAAAGAACGGCAGAGCCTTCCTACRTTGTGCTGTGCTAATGTTGCGTCTCAAAGGTCACCTTTTCAGGAGGAAACAGGTTATTCCTTCCTCCTGCCCTTTGCAAGCTGTTTTCTGGTGGGTTTGCAAGTGTAATTGTGGCTCCACGCCAGGCAGGTCCTCCACCATTTGGGACAGAAAACCACCAGCACCTTGCCTGCATACCGCAGCTTCTGCTCTGACCACCTCCCTGCCTTTCCGGGCCACGAGCAGAGGAAAACACTGAGCTATGTTACCAGATGCCAGGTACACTCTGTTCTCGGAGGAAGATATCCAAAATCTAAGAAATAGGATAATTGTATTTGCATTTCAGCAGACTGGAAAGAGGCAGGGACTAACTCCCAAAACCGAGTTCAGGATAAGAGAACAGACGGCTTCAGGAAAGGGTCCATATCAATTCACTCCAAGAGCCAAGAAAGATTTGTCAAGCCAGGGCTAAATGTTTTGTGACCCAAACTGAAGCAAAATAGCGGAAAGCCGAGGTGCTCTGGAGAACTGGTGCAGCTGGGGACTGCAGGGGCAGCCTGTCACCTTGGCTCTGGCTGCAGACAGACCCAGGCCCGGAACAGCTGCTAAACTGCAAACCCTGATTTTAGGGGAGCTTGTGCTCATGAAGCCCTGGGAATTCAGGAGAGGGCAGTGCCTTCATTCAGTAGAATCAAAGAAATACTCAGGAGAAACCTGAAACAAAGTGAAAGCAGCAGGCTATTAGAAACCTTCCATCACACTGACAACAAGCTGAGAAAACCCATACGTTGCACTCACCAAGAACTTTATATCACACGAACACAGGTAGATGCATCAAAAAAATAAATAAATAAAAATAAAGGCAAGGGCAGGGGGAGAGGGCTTAGAAAATACATTCATAGATACTAATGTCCCTGATCAGTTTTGTATTGCTGGCTGCAACCACAGAGATGTTTTATCTGGGCACAGAGGGAAGAGCCAGAACCAGAGAGGGGCTAAACACCCAAACCACCTTTGTGAGTGGATTGGCTGAGCCCACGTGAGGGCAGCAGCCCTCTGTTCAGCAGCCCCCTCACTTTTTAATGGCTGGTTGAGAGGGAGGGCAAATAAGCTAAGGCAACGTGACTTTAAGCTGGAAATAGAGGACTGAATTTAAGAGATTACAGAGGAAGAGAGGAGCGGGGAGAGGGAAAAAAAAGAATATAGCACCACCAAAAAGCACCACACGCTCCGAACCACAGAAGAAAATAATGCTGCAACACAGGCTGCTCTCCAAGGCTTGCTTTTCTGTTCTGCTCCAAGTTCTGCACATTCCAGTTGTGCAGGAATACAGCTTCTGTAGTCAACACCAAGCTCCTGAAGGTTTTGTATTTCAACTACACTTCAGAATTASTCATAATTTAAGCTTAAATTAGTAATATACTAATTTACTAGTAATATATTATTACTAATAATGAGTAATAATCTCAAATTAGTATCCATCGCTGTGTACAGAAAAGGCACATTACGATGAGTGCTCAGAATTCACGGATACTTGCTGACCCAGGTGAATTCACCTGAGTCACTGCGCAAGCACCCTGAGGCTGAGTTCATTTTATTCAATTACTAAGCAGGCTTTACAGCATTCATAGTATATATGACTGGAAAGATCATTCACTTATGGCAGACCATTAATTTGTCTAATTGCACTACAGAATAAACTCTCTACTCCCCAAATGATGCTGCTAGGAAAGGTCAAAAGCCTCATCATTACTCGTCTGAGCCGCTCGCAGAGAAAACAGTTTCAGATTGAACAGAGCTACTGAACAAAGAACATTTTCTCTTCAAAGCTACTGGATATCATTACAAGCCAACAAATTGTGGGTGTGTAAAATGAAAATGATACTTTTAATGTTGAAAAACTACAAAGTGCATAAGACCCAAGTATTTTCTTGTAGATTCCTCTAGGTCATTATTTGTGTAGCTTGTCTGTCTTATATGTGAGAATCCTGGCATGATCTCCAGACTCCCAGGGAGTAACAAATGCCAGGAATGCATATTTTAAAACTGGGAATGTTTTCAAGGTATTTTGGCTCAAATGAATAAAATGTTAAGGTATCAGCAAGCCAACTGGGAAAGCTGTCACTTTACCAAAATATGAAATGTTTTGCTAGCTGCTCTCCCAGAACACAGAGACCCTGAAAGAAAAACATTAACATGAACCCTGGGAAGCAAAATAAGTTCTTCAAAGGCAGGGGCCACACTGCATCTTGTCCTTGCATAAAAAAGTACTCAAATACAGAAGTGCCACAAGGACTCGTGTTAACCGGTATACTTGCCTCTCCTCAGCTGCATGATACTGAATTCCCTTCATAGGACAAAGAACCTCTTCATCCAGCTGGGACTTGAATTTGTTGGGCATTAGGGGCATTAGGCACACCAAAAAAAAAATCAATATACAGAGCATTGCGCTGGGATTACTGGCTAACATACCGCTGTTTTTCTGATGAGAATGTGGATGAAACAGACACAAACGCAGTTTTACTTTTCCCATAAAAAATAAAAAAGACATGTAATGGTATTTCAGAATTGTAGGTCATGGGGAACACTGGAAACAGGAAACCAATCAAAATCTGGTTTCCGGTTTAAAGTAGTCTGTCAACTAAAAATCCACATTCATTACCWGGCAAGAAAGCTGTTGTCTACCCTTACAACAGGGATAGTTTGTGGTACATGATATCTGTCATTCAGTTCTGACTTTTTAAATAGAAGTTGTCACCTGTAAATTCAGTATGACAATTATTTGTACTCAGCCTGTTTCCTAAGAAAATTAAGTCTGTACTGGCTGTAATGACACTTCGCTCTCAAAGAATTTTTAAGCCTGCTGAACAGGCAGGAAGCACCATGACTTCCGATCTATTAATAATACAGAAAATTCCGTATGGCTTCAAAGTGGAATTAAATAGACGCTTTTAAGATCAAATCAAAGAGGTCATGTACAAAAAGACCTGCCCACCCCACAGAAGGGTAATCAGGATGACTACCATCTATTACCTTTGCAAAGAATATTTGCCACAGTGACTGCTACACAGGTAGTGTAGCAGGTGGCTGCCCTCCTCTCAGAGGCACCAAAAGATTAGAGGAGCACTGGGCATTGCATGGGCATTGTATAAAGGACAAAAAGCAGTTACTTCAAGACAGATAATATTTTGGACAAAAGCATAAAAAAGGCAGAATCAAGATCACAGCTTCACAATTAAGCAACTATAAGAGCAAATATATTGTAGCAAATCAACAGTGACTTACCTAAAACAACCATTTTAAGAAAGGAACATGGAAAAGAGAGAGGAGAGGAACTGCCAATGCTAATCATTTCTTACTCAAAAGAACCAGAAGCTGTCCATGCTGTCTTGTATTACTGTTATATAAGAAAAGAACATAACATTATCTGCCTGTGAAGCTGATACCACCACTGTGCTGCAGGCTTGTGAGACCACAACTGGTGCTTCACAAAATGCTTTCAGATTCTTGATACTAGCAGTGACAAACTCAACACAGTCTGTACTTACACAGCATATAAAAGATTAACCTTCAGATTAGCTCTCACGTACAACTTCAAAAACCGCAGGCCACAGACTAAGAGGTCCAGCTCTCCTTTAATCCAGCATTCAATATTCCAATTTGAACCTAAACAGAAAAAAAGGGACTGAACATTTCTGAACTATATTAAGACCAAGAAACAACTGAAGTGACAGAATAAAATTCACTCAAAAAAACAGGGCATCTAACCGACATCCATCAAGATGCGGCTGGGCATCTTGTGTGCCGCAAATTGTTCATCAACAATTTAGTCTGGCAGTCTTCAAAAGGCATTTATTTGTTGCATGAGACAGTTCTTCTAAAATGAAATTCTACTCTCTTGAAGTCAATGGGATTGTTGCCATCAATAGCAGGCCAACAGGCTAGCATGCTGCTCAGAGACTAAATATATGAAAGGAGAAAATCCTCCAGAGAAAGAAAATACAGTTTAATTCATGTGCACATATTTTGAAAGGCTTCACAGTCCAGGCAGAAGGAACAGCACTTGCTCCCAGTCTCCTCCTCCTCCTGAAGGAGTTYAAACCTGCAACTGCAGAAGTATTTAAACTATTTCCTATAGTGGCTAAACACCTTCCAAGATCTGGGCTTATGTCCACATATGCAGCGCTGCGTATTTTATTCAATATTCCCCTAGAAAGACAGTCATTTTTTTTCCTCCTTTGAATCTATGCTATTCAGTTTTCCTTTACCTTCCATTGCAGGCTTCTGTGAGAAAGGATTTTACCATACTATATTGTCTGCTCTGCCTAAAAATGACTCCTCAAACTTCTTTTATGAAGAACAAATCACTGATTATGCTCTTGAATGAAAAACCTACCTGTTTCTTGAGAAGCCAAGGTGCTTGATTCTGAAGGAGTAAACATCTTTGCGTGCATGCTTGCTCTGTACAAAGAGCAATCAATGTTATTATCACTCCACAGGCAACAGAGAAAACTTTCTTCAGTCATTACCCAGGGAGAATTGGCTTCAGCAGCTCCACGTTCTGGATTGAAACCAGCCCAGCCTGTCACAGTTCTAGCAGAGAGAGGACTGAGAAGCGTCTCATTCAGCAGCACACAAGGTAATGAAAAGTTCCTGGGAGGAATCTGATAGACCATACAATGGGCAACTGCCATGTGAAGAAAGTCTGCAAATATAAACATAAAATAAAGGAAAAAAGAAACAGCTGCATTAAATGAAAAATAAATTCCAGGAGTTAATCTCCACATTGGAGACAAAAATCACTATAAGCATCCCCTCTGAGGTGGTGTCTCACAACTGATACACACCAACCTTCCCCCACTGACACTGCACCTAACTTTTTGTTTCCCCAAGCGCYTGGAATAGACCAAGACCAGAGGGCAAGCACCCCTCCTGAACTGTGACTCCTAAATCTGAGTTCATGTACTTTACAGATAGGAGTCTCTTATCTCCCTACAGAACTGGGACATTTGCAGTCCGGATATTTATGACTCCATCATTTCAGAAAAACAAAATAATCCCATTGWATATGACAGAGTTTGCAAGTCTCAAATCCCAAAGAGTTTCACAAGGACATATGACTTGATGGCAACTATACAACCCAAGAGCATTATCTGGGAAATGAGATGCAGGAAAACCATCATCTTTTCCATCAGACTTGGGTTCCTCAAAGTAAAATCCCCCTAACCACAGCTGGAGCTCTTGTTGGTAAGTCATAGTTTAAATTACGCTAATACTGACTTGGAGAATGATGATCACATCCGTTTTACGAATACCTTACTGTAAAATATTGAACGAATTTCCAAGATTAAAGCTCAAGTTAAAGAAAGGCAAGAGGTTGGTTTGTGTACCTCATTGTTTCTAATATCCTACTCGGTAAAGACATTGAAACTTTAAACACTTTATTGTGCAGAAATTTATTCAGGTTCAGTACCTTGCAATAAGGAAAGAAGAAAATTTCTCTCTGCCGCTCTCACTTTCATTAATAGAATATAAGCATAAGCTAACTAATACAGGAGTACAAAATGGAAKTTTTGAAAAAGAAGATGCTTGTTACACTAAAAGCAGACACATGTTACTATCCGGTGTGTTGAGAGGTTTCATTTTCTTTACACACATTTGATATTACCAGGCTCCCAAAGGGTTCTGCTCTTTTTTCTTCTCTTGCTTAACAAGGCAGAGTTTGTGCCTTTGTAAATACCAGCTTCATTAGGTCTGCTGGCTCTATGTRGAGGAGATTCAGTTAACTGAACAGACTATTAGTCCAAATTCCATGATTAAAGAAGAACAAATGAGTAAATGACATGACTGCCTATGAAGTAGGAGAGATAACTAATGCACTATTCATTTTATAGAAACAGATGGAGGAAAAAGAAGATTCCTGACAGTCATCTCTTATATATATGACCTTCGTCTTTTCTTACATACCTTACCAGATCTCACGGGATTAACTAAATCCTATAAACTCAAAACAAATGCAGCTACTTACTATTTCCTCAGAAGTGTTTAAAAGAAAGAGCTGTAATGTAGCACAAAACAAAACATGGAGCACAGGATTGATTGCTATAGCTCTTAAAAGTCCTTTAATATATCTTAGCATGCAGCTATCGATGGACAGTGTGCATTAAGAATGTTTTCCAGGTACAGATGTAACAGTTTGTCCATGGCACAGACACACAGCRGGCCACTGTTCTGCTTCTCAGATGACACTCAAAGGACACCATAAATCCATGCCTAGGTCAACAAGGCTGCAAAGGTGCCACTCGTGGATATTTGCACCTCACTAGCCAGCAATCTGTGACACCCAAAGCAATTTTTCCCAAGCACCCAGGTGCTTTCATTAAAAGGTRGAGAAAATGTTTACATTATACAAGGTGTTCAACAAAGTATTTGTCAGAAGTGCAATATTTGGTACCAAGTAGATAAAAGTATGTATATTGTCGGATGAATTCTTCGTCTTTTGTGAATATATGTAGTCACCAATTGAAACTAATTTCGCTGGATTATACTATTTGTTTTCCCTCTAATCATCATCAACCTTTAAACAGTTATTTTCTTAATCCAAAAAATGAGAGGAAGGCACATGCCAGCTGTCTCTGAACAGCATACACCAATATTGTCATAGACATTTCCAAAGTAGAAAAACAAGTTACTCTAGTTAATGACACTTACAGTGAATTGAGCATCCTTCAGTAGCATCGTGCACATGAAAGCAGATATGCTACTCGCGTAAAAATACAGAGCTAAAATGCAAAGTGAATTCTTGGCAATACTGAACTAAACACAGATTTTCCAATCAGTTGCTATGTCACCTGCATTTTCCCTTCCACTTCTGGACTTGTTAGGTATTATTCATAAACCTCTAATCTCTGCATATTTTAACTGAGGTATTTGTTTTAATATGTTTTGATTCTGCACAATGCAAAATCACAGTATTTGCATATTCTAGTTGCATATTGTGAAAAGATACCTGTCCAGGAGTATGTTTTTAAGTGCCACTGTATCACAAAAACAGAGATTACTCTTCACCTCTCATCAACTTACAATATACCTATTTTTAAAAGCAATGTTTATTGTAACTTACCCAACAGCACAAACACGATCAGAATGATTTGCCAATGCATCTTGTTTTGAACAGCTGATCTGGAAAACATACATAAGATTTACTAAGAGTTGATAACTACCAGTCTATTCTTTTATTAGGATTTGGTACAAAAATATTTTGCAAAGTTATCTAAATATGCTTCTCTGAAACCAGGTGCTTTGCTAGTTCAAGTTAAAATAATGGTACGCTCAATCAATTTGATATCCACTCCTTTATATACMGTAAGAACAAATCAAAACGTCACCTGACAAAGTAACTTGGTAATATTGCTGGTATTATCAGTAAAATACCAGTACAGGCCTCCTCTTATCACTACAGCTACACAGCATCTATCTCTTCCAGGTCCTCTGTGATTGCTGGTTGCTGCCTGGCTTCACTCTGCTCAAGGGTACTAYGAATTTAAAGAACCAAAATGCCCAAGCAATGTTCTGTTCTGCAAGTACATCATACACACGGGCACCAGTTCCAAAGGCAAAGACTTACTAAGCATTACAATAACATTTCAGTACTGTTCTTTCTTTTTAGGTACCTGGTTTTTTGGGGCTTTTACCCATATATTCACACAAACTCTGTCCACATTCAAATATAAGCATTTTTATACTTTAGAAAAAAATACAGAGGACATGRGAGTAAGATACAGACACTGTCCGTCTTTCTGGTTAACCATAACTATATTGTTAGTATAATTTAGAGATCAAGTAGGTAGAGAACAAAGGAGCAGGAAGTGAAATTTGGGCTGCTGACACAAAACAAGAGTATTTGCTGAAGCAAGGAAGGCTCATAAGGATCCTTCCACTCCCTTTCACCCTCCAGACTTAATTTCGACCATCCAGCGATCTCGGCGCTGCTTTCCTCTTGGCAATGGCTTAAGGCAACAATGATTGAACACCCCAAGCGGCACAAAACCCATCAGAAAGGCTCCAGTATATCAGCTTTGTAGGCTCCCTGAAAACCCTCCTGTTAAGAAAACCCTTGGAAATTCAGCTGGGGCTGGCACCAGGCCATTTCTTCAGCAGGGACTCATCTTCATTTTGGTCTGCAAGATGAGTCAGTCCCATCCACTTTTCTCCCCATTCATTCAGGTTGCAATCAGAATGCATTTTGAGCTACATTTTGAGGAATTAAAGAGAAAAGCTCCCAATCTTGAAGGTGGTGCTTCACAGTCTCTACTTCAGATGAAAATTTACCTCTCAGCACAGTTGTTATCAGGCCAGTCTTATCCATACATCGCCTATTAGTTGGTCTCCTAATCTGTGAGCCACTCAGGCCAGAGGAACTATACTCACTGCCACCTTCTATGTGGTCTATGATTTCACAGAGTTACAAAAACCTCTGACGAAAGTTAACAATCTTTTCACCCCTCCGAATTTCTAACCAGAAGAAACAAACCATTTATAATAACTAGTTTGACAAAAGCATAGACTCTTCATACYATTAACCCTGTGGCTTAATGAAAATTAAAGAAAGAAAAGGACAGTCCACRTTCCTCTTTCACAGATGCAACATAAATTTGCACTCCATGGCTCAACCACTTCTCAGTAGGAAACTCCAGAAGAGATTCCTCTCATATATTGTCCAAGGAAATCGGACATATATTTTGGAGGTTTATGAAGTTATTGGTTTGTCATGGATGTTGCTGCAAGTAATTTTTAACGCTCCTTTTGAACGCTCCTTTAAAAACTGTAAAATTTCTACTTTCAAACAGAGAGTAGGACAGATTTTGCAAACAACTCATATTTGACTGCACTATTTCAAAATAAAATGGAAAAGGGTGAAGTCTCATCTCCCATTTGCTCCTGGAAGCAGGAGGACCCTCTGTGTTCACTTTGCCCATTTAATACACAGGATGGACTGAAGATAAAGCAATCACAGATCCCTGCARCCACATACACCTCAAAGAAACAGTGCCATAATTATGTAGTTTACTGAAGATAAAAGCATTTTCGCTTTCTGCTGCTGTCTTAAATGATCCAACAGAGCAAAGAGACAGTGACACCAGCTCTAACTTAACTGTAATCAGCAAATATTTGGGCAAGCAAGCAAATAAAAGAGTTGAGACCAGACTTCCCCAACATAATCTTTTTCTATTTGCACTGTATCAGTCTAAATTGAACTTTTACCAATGTGGCTTTTTAAAAATTCCAATTCTAACAGCATTCATTAATCAAAAATAGTACTGTATATGAACAAAAAGCAGCACAAGATACAGGTAAGCAACACTTGCTGCTTTCATATTCTTGATTTAGTATCCCTTCCAATGCTTTAAATAAGAATTGAGTAGAAGAAGCTACCTATATAGAAAACTTCTAGGACAAGGGGAAGGTGTTCCCCTGAACTGGAGTATCAAACATCCTTTCTAACGAGAACAATGAACTTAGAAAGAGGCTAGTTAGGATTTCTGATAAGAAAGYATACAAGTTTTATTTGAAAGTTGCAGGCACCAGGCAGATCAACAGAGGAGCACTGCAAAATCTTCTAMGCACAGCTGTGTCCTACAGCACATAAGCTAAGAACGAGCAAGGACTGGCAGCAACAGTACGTGTACAGCTGGGAGGGCACCCATGATAACGGCAGGGCTCTGGCTCTGCTTTGGCACATCTGCCTCACGATACCATATCCACCGGCTGCTCTGCTGCTGCACACAAGCAGTTTTCCAATTTTCCATGTTAATAGCTCCTCTCCACATTAAGACACCAAGCAAAAATGCAGTGAGGCCACTCCGTGTCTCCATAAAAGCGTCAGATTAAATTCATTTGCAACATAGCAAACACGTGAAGAAAGGAGAAAGATAATGAAATTAAGATCATTTTCACAGGCTGCCTGTGAAGCTGTACAATTCACTGGCATACCAGCATGGGAAACGTTTTCAGCATAGCCTGAAAGGAAACTGGCCGGTGATCCACAACACCTGCTGACTGGGTCAGAAAAGCATACCGAAAGATCTCCCTTTTCTTCCAGAGTTGCTCTTTATTATTATTATTATTTATGACAACTTACATTTTTGTGTGTCTCATCGCTGATTTAAAAATAGGTGCTTAATGTAAAGAGAGGACTGCAATACGAGGCAGGTCCAGCTGTCTGGTCAGAACATCAGGAAACGGAGGGTGACACTGGGTGACRAGGAGCGCCCAGTCCCTGCCACCTTTCCTGGCCTCTGCTGAGTAGCATCACYCTGACACCACTGAAACTCCACCATAAAGTTCCCATAGACTTTGTAAGGACAAAGCAACTAGGTAAGCAAGTGCTGCAGAATTAAAGAYTATTTATTAGGAGTTGCCTTGTAATTAAATACTCCAAAATCATATTTTTTTTTCTCAATTTCAGAAGCTATAGAAACATACACAAACATTTTTAGGTTAAAATTTAGATTAAAATTACCAGAAAYTCATGTTTTTCCTCAAACGATACACCCATATAGGCTCTGGAAGCAATTTTTTTTTCTTATTCCTAAAAAACAACAACAGCTGCTAGTTAATGGGAAATGGGAACATAATACTGTGAGCATACAAACTGTCCCTGAGTTTTGAAAGCACTCTGCTCCAGCTGTTTTTAAATATTTAAAAGATCTCTATAAAGCATAAAATATTCTGGTAATCATGCCTAAGCACACGCATCCTGGCTTGATCCTTGAGGGTGCTGAGGACTTCCCAATCGCGCCAGTTTTGGCGAGAGCAGCGGTGCTTAATGGGCCCTCCTGGACATGGAAATTCATTGCATTTGTTTGTCATTTGGTATAAGAGTAAACACTACAAATAAAGAGTAAACRGAACGTGGAAAACAGCAATGAAAGTGACTTGCAATGAGTATTTTTGCTTTCAAACATCACTTCGTATAGAAGCTTTAACCAAGGCACGGTTAAAGGTGCARTGCCCAAGTTTGTGGAGCGCAGCGATCACCTCCAAGAGGCTTCATGTGCACAAATATTGGTGATTTTAAGCAGGGGACTCAGACAAGCACGGTGCGAAGCATTGTTTCCCCAGGCCCCCACCATTACCTGGCGCTCGGTGCTCCCTCGGGCAGTGGCCGCGGGGCAGCTCAGGGCTCCCGGCGCTTCCCTTACAAACGCTGCTCATAAACACCCGGGCCAAAACGCAGCTTCAATTCCCACAGCGCTTTTCCGTACGGAGGGGCTCCATGGGCTCCTCCAGCACCCTGCGTGTTGACGGCTGCTCCGCTGCACCTGCCCGGGACCTCTCTGGCCCCAAGTGTCTTTGGGGCACTAACGCCTCAAAGCGGAAAGAAAACATAAAAAGTTTGTGGGAAGTTTTTTAGGTAGGGGGGAGCCGTATACACGGCGCCAGCTCCCAAAGTTGCCTCGTCCTCTGGAGAGCGGCGCTGTTAGCTCCAGGAGAATAAAGGGGGGTGCGGGAAGCGCCGCGGGCCGGTCCCGCTCCCGTCGCGGCGGGGCTGGGGGGTCCCCGTGCCCCATTCCCGGGCGGGCTCCGGCCGGGCCCTCCCGCCCCGGGAGAGGGGCGAACAAGCGCACGGACCCACCTGGCGTCGCCTCCCGAGCCGCGCCGAGCGCAGCGCCTTCCTCCTCGCTTCCCTTCGCTCCTCCTGCCTCGGGCAGCCGCTGCCGCCGCCCGATCCCGGCGGAGCGGCCGCTCCTCCCGGCGCGGGGCCGCCCCCGGCGCCGCCTCGTGCTAGCGGCCGCCCACCCGAGCGGCGGTACCGCTCCGGCCCCGCTCCGGTACCGGCCCCTCTGCTCGCACCCAACATGGTGGCGGGGTCCCAGCCTCGCACGCCAAGATGGCGGCGCGCCCCTCAGCGCGCGGCCGGACGCCTCATCCCTCACAGACCCTGAGGGGAGACATAAAMCCCCCCAAAAAAACCCAAACACACAAGTTTTAGCCCTCAGGCAGCTCAAGCGCTGAGGGTGCCGGCAGACCTGGCCCTGCCCAGCCTTGGGCCGCTGACCCTGAYATTTCTTACCTGTCTTTATTTCATTTTTCTGAACAGAGTAAGTCTGTTTCACTTAGGTAGGACTAGAGGAAATGGCTTCAAACTGAAGCATCGGAAGTTCCACAGGAACTTAAGGAAGCATTTCTTCACTGTGAGGGTGACAAAGCACTGGAACAGGCTGCCCAGAGAGGTTGTGGAGTCTCCTTCYTTGGAGATCTTTAAAACCCGCTTGGATGCAGCCCTGTGCCACGTGCTCYAGGTGACCCTGCGTGAGCAGGGGGGTTGGACTCGATGACCTCTGAGGTCCCTTCCAACCTTCGGCATTCTATGATTCTATGAAAACAAGAGAACCTGATGGGAACAGTCACTGTTCGGTTGGTGGTTTTAGCAGCACGAATAGTTCAAAACATGGATTAACAACATAAAAGTTAGCCTGGGATAGGAGATGTGACAGTTTAAGCAGTGCTATCCAGTTCACTTTGGATATTTCTTTGATTTTATACTTGAAAACAGCCAAAGAACTTAATTCTAAAAATCCCACTTGTAAAAATTGTGAAAATGTCCATATTAATGGCCTGTCAGAGACTTCCAGTGACAAGACATTAACAAGTTGTTTAGGCTGTTGTAATCCATAAGTGTGWACACAGTGGTGTTCACCTGTCTTATAAGGCAGTTTTGATCAAGAAACTTTGTTGTACCATCCCTGATAACACCTRTATGAGAGTTATATAAAACAGCCCACTGTATACTGTCATTTTAGAAGAACTATTAYGTGTAAAATATCTCAAAATTATTTCATTTTGCCTTTTGCACAAGMCAGCATGTAATGTTGGGCCAAAGGCTAATTTTTTTTTCCATCATCTCCAATACAGTGATGACTTAGCCTCAGAAATTATCCATAGTATCACGGGCTGCGAGTATCACAATTGAGTGTCACAATTAATTTGGATTGATTTTTAAATGGTAATTTGCCCCRAATTTCTTTGAAGACAAAAATCAGAGCTTTTTTTTAATATATATATATATATATAAAAGCTCACTTTTTATCTTGGTTTTAAGCCACATTGAGTTTATGTAAAAAAAAAAGTTAGATATAGTTCATAGAGTTCTAAGCGAGCAATCCATACATGCTTCTAAAGAAACTTTTTAGTACATTTAGTACATTCAGTACATTCGTGCTTCTACAAAGCCAGTCTGCATGGAAGGCACAGTGTTTTTACAGATGGGGTGACACGCGGAGAAGTCTGCTCCTTTTTGTGCAAGAAAAAGGATCTGTGACTGAGTGAACAACCCAGTCATGGGCATTTGCACATCCCAAACTTGCATCTTTACTTTTGCATGCACGCGGAGACAGTTTTCACCAGGAAAATGATCACAGATATCTTAGTCCCTCCAGGCTTCACCTGTCTCTGGAGTATCTTCTGAGTTTAATTGGGAAATTCTTTGTAACTGAGTTTCTTTATAGAATTATTATCTTAGGCAATGGAAAGGCTTCCTCAAAATACCTAGATTTCCAACAAAGTTGGAACCTAGTTCCAACACAGTTTTAATACTATGTATGGATGATTGTCACAAAAAAGCAACTTGTTACATAAATAACCTGGGCCACATAAAAGAAATTAACAGTGAAAATTAATAAGTAAAGCTAAATTTAAAAGCTGACCTTAAATTATTAAAAAGAATTTTTCAAGTATTAAATTTAGACTAGGTCTGAAGTTAGAAAGGTGGAAAATAGCCCAAGCTTATACAAAATGGTTCTAAAAGTAATGATGAATGTGCTGCTACAATGTGGAGTTTTTTGAAATGATATATCATCTTATATCTTAAAAGCTACTTCACACAAAAGTCAGAGCTCTAAGTTAATAAGATAACAGGTAATCACTTTTGTGCTTATTTTGTCCTCGCCCATGGAGCTACAGACCCAGTTCCACACACGAACCTCTGTTTGGACAAGGGCCAACGTTCACCGCGAGGATTTGGCCTCCAACAGCCCATGCCAGATGTCACTGCAGATACATCAAGAAAGCCAGCTGAAGGGGACCTGGAAAAAGTATTAAAACAGCAAAAGTGCAGATTAGGTTACAGATTAGCAATAACCCCCTTCAAACAAGCAGCAAAAGTGGAGCTTAGATTACAGATCTGTTATAAACATGTGTTCGATGTTTTCCACAGTCCAGGTAGCAGTGTTGACCATAGGGCTAGAAGCTGGATGAATAAAGAGATCGAGGGAAATAAAGTGACTGAAGCAAATTGATATAGCAGGGAGAACACTGCGAGGGTTTAGCGCATGGAGATAGAATGGAGATGGAGCACAGGGAAAGGCAAACTGCAGGCACAGCACACAAATCTGTTAATAGTAGTACCAGCAGAGTAAAGAGCAAATATATAAAACTTGGCTAAGAAAGAGGAGGTCATGGTAAAATGTGATTTTAAAAATATACAGGATTTAAGAGCAGCTTTGCGGGGAGCAGAGGGAAAGATACGATGAGCAAACACAGGGATAGGAAAGTACCACGAGCTGTCCAAAGCACCGGGCAGCGCTAGCACCAAATCGGATCACGTAGCCCTGCCACAAGTACCTTTTGGCTGCTTACTAAAACCTGAGTCTTGGCCAGTGGAAGAATATGCGCTTCTGGAGCAGCCTTTTAATGGGAATAACAGCGTGAAGGGAGAGAAGAAAAAAAAAAGAAAAAAAAAAAAAGCAGCTTTAAGATAGCATTTAATAAATTGTGAGAAGAATTATTCTACAGTTTGGTGCCTCCAATAAAGCAACTGAATTAAATAGTCTGCATTATTTGTGCTCTTGTAGGCCCAAAGTTCTTTGCTACCCATCTGCCTCCCTTGAGGCTCAAAGCATCCATTTTGCCATTTCCCAAACCACTTGCTACTGCTCCCTGTTCCACACAAGCATATTTAAATCCTTCTTAAGGATTAAAAACCTTTGAAAAAAAATAAAGCCGATTACAACTCACCTCTCTGTGCTCATCCGTATCCTTTGGCACATTGGTGCCTAAGCAAAGGGCATCCCTGCATACAGATCATCCTCTCTTGGCCACGTCCATCCATTCAGACCTCCCTGAAAGACCTGGTTCTTTTTAGGAGGACGGGACATTGGGGGATATTAAGATCACAGTTTGACTGCCCTGCACTTGGGTGTTTGCCCTCATGAATAGAGAGCTCTTTGAGCRAAGTGCTGACGCCTGTGTAAAACAACACCCCGCGTCTGACAGGAGCCGCGAGATATCAAACAACACCCAGAAATGATGTCGAGGACTCAGCACAACGAGAAGAGATGTGCTTGGGTGCCAGAGGATTTAGAGGTTTTATTCTTGCTTGTGCTCATGCTTTTGCATGGAAAACACAGCAACTGTTCACAACCAATGTAACACACTGGTTAGTCCCCAATCTSTGAAAGAGAGGGTTTTATGGCATGTTTTTTGATTTTTTTTTTTTTAATTTTCCGCAATATTATATATGAACAAATGAAAAAGTAATTTTCTGCTTCAGAACGTTATTTCTTTTCCACCTACTGCAAGTTCCTCTCAGCGAATGAGCTCAAACTCATCTCACCAAYTACTGCACCCGCTGACTGCCTTTCATTTCTGTATTGACTCTTCCTAATTCATCATCCATTTCCTCAGAGCAGCAACAGCCAATTTCTCTCCGCATTAAAAGAAGCACCATCTCTAAYTGAATATAGATTATATTTTTAGAATATTTCTGAAATCTAGTGTAACAGTTTGGGAAATCTGTCTACGTACAATTCCCATCTGAGGTTAGGAAGCCACTGACGTTTTTTATATCCCAGAATTTCTTAACGTAAGCAAAAACCATCACAAGCTCTCTAGTCTAGTCTGGCATGGCCCTGCTAGGCCACGTACAAAGAGGAAACACTAAAATATTTTTCTGGTCAGAGTAAAGCATCTCAAAGCAAGGAGGTTGGACAAAGTCTCCTTCCTTGCACAGCATTAGCAGTCCCTGAAAGGAAAAAAAAAATCCCCATGTAAATCCACCCCTTCTTATTATCTAAACTAAATCTTCCTTCCCGCAGTTTAACCCTATTTTCACATATTTGGGAGAAGCAGACACTTAATTCCCTCCTTGCAGACGT